TGGATAAGAGACACAGTAATTCATGAACTGAAGTTACTGTATTCAAAGGACAGGAAGTTTTATCTGGGATTTAAAGAACAAAACCTAGTCCTAGTGTAAGTTTTGTGGTTTTTGTCTCTAGGAATAATGATCTCATTATTCCACTTGGGGTCCATGCCTTCATATGCCACATCTGTCATCATATCTTTTGACTTACAAAATCTATCTATTGTCAGAGGTTGCATCTTGTGATATTCCACTAAAAATACTTATTCATATTATGTCATCATTTTCTGTGTACCATGACTAATTTATTTTTTTTTTAGATTTATGGCTGGTAATCAGTTTTATAGTTTCTATTGAACAAAGTACTTTCTATCATATGTGATGAATACAACAGCACTATTTAACTGAGCATTTTTTATAAAGGGGTGGTGGGGTCTCATCAATTAAAGTTCTAAAAAGCAAAAAAAATATATACATCATGGAGTTCAATTTCAACACAGGTTTCCATCATATAATCTCTCTGCTGCTACTTGGCTTCATGTAGGCATTTATTGGAAGGACAGCAAAACAATTCTGACTAAGGCCTAATGAGCATTGTGTGGCAGGAAAGGAATGGTACAGAAGTATAAACTTTAGGCTTTTTCTACTTATGATTTCCTGAGTTCAAAGAAGTGACTTTATAAAGCAAACTGAGAAAGTGAGGGAAGGTCATAAAAGCTATGTGGATTTTGATGTTCATACAATGTAAACACGAATGTAAACACCAGTGGTGCTAAGTAACAACTATTTCCAGTGAAATCAATACTGCTCTGAAAATCAGGCCAGTGTTTAATCAATAAGAAACTTGAAGAGACAGGCCTGTAAAAAGAAATGCCAGGTGATCTTGTGAGAAGACAAATGGGTCAAAGCAAAAGAAACTCTTAAGTGGTTCTTAGGGTGTGACATCTTAGCTCACAACAGTTTCTCATAGACTGTCATGCTTCAGATGTGTGTGTACACTGTGCTTGCAAATAGCAAACCTACGGTGCAGATGCTGACTGACTGTTGTCACAACATTGTCACCAACCACTGTTGATGTTTATGTCACATTTATGACACACAACACCATTCCAGGCAGGTAGCAGGTACTGCTATTGCATTTTTCCCTTGTGTGTGCAAATATAATAAACAAAACCTGCTTATAGCACAACCTGTAGTCATTTCTAGTACCTTGGTTTATTTTCTGTTGGGGTGGGTGACCCAGGTCAGAGAAATTTACCAATTCTTTTAATGCAGTCAAAGCATTTTATGAAGGTCAATCAAATGTCCCACATTGGTTTTCATCCCAGCAGCCTCAGTTACATTCTGGCTGGGGTCCTGGTTAGGGTTCAGGACAATAGGAACCAGTTTTCTGTGCCATCTGAGAAGTCTGTCAAGATGATCTGAGTCCTGCCATTAGAATATTCCAATGTTCTATGTTGAACTTTTGATACTTGCCTGTCTTTCTTGGTTGGTCTGTCCTTAGGAATAATGTATCCAACTATTAATCCTTCATATATCAATGGCTCTTATCAGATAATATAACTCATTTTCTCTTGATAAACACTAGATAAACACTAGTTGAGAACTAAATCTAATGTATTCTATACTATGAAGAGTATTCTATCATTTTATGGAAGCAGGCACAGAGAATTGACACAGACAATATTATTTTATTTGTTATTAGACTTCCTATAGGGTGCCACTTATATCACAGCAATAAGTTGTTCTCTTGCTCTGAAAACCTTACTGTCTTATAACATGTCAAAAGAGGCAAGATTGTGAAAAGCTTTAAAAAAAAAAGGCAGTGTAAAGTCTTCTAATTGTATGCATTCATGATTTGCACAACTCCTGCATATTTCTCCAACTTTACTTTTGTGACTCAGTAGCAGAACTTTAAAGAGTATACCCAAAAACATCACTGTGTACAATGAACACAAAAATGCTTAATCTTTCTCAGATATGATCAGTATCTGTTATTTATAAATGCATAAGATGTACGTAAGCTGTTTCTGTTCTGTTACCCTCTCTTTGCTGTGACCAAAGAAACCTAGCCTCCCTTGGTTGCATAAAGCCTCAAAGTGATTAAAAAAATGGCTCTTTCAACCATATAGGCATGATTGTGTCCAGCCTTGTGCATTTGCCTTCAAAGGGAACAGGGAACAGTTGCTACAGCAGCTCCTAAAGACTAGCAGCATAATATCCTCTACTGCATTTGTGCACAGCTATGTAAGCCTTGGTGTACACACAGAATGAAGAAGTGATACAGGCACCTTTCCTGTTCCATCTGTTTGTGCCAGCAGGATGCCTACTGTGTAAATAAAGATAGGGCTTTCACATGGCATAGATATATAGTCCTTTGGAGCTTGGATATATTTATTTTTCTCAGTTTACTTTAAAGTTAATTTAGTTACCTAGGGAGTTTTAGAGGCTGAAAAATTTGTATCTGAGGATGGTGTGTAAGTAGATGGATAGACTGCAGCTGGTTGGGAGTTCTGAGGATTTGTATTTTTGCAGTTGAAGTATGGGTGCAGTTTGATGGCTTTTAGTGTTTAAATCCTGTAGTTTATCCAGTCAAAAGTCAGTTAGCAATAAACAGTAGTTGGCTCCAAACTTGACACTTCCTTAATCACGACAGGAAGATACATCTGTTTGTGTTTGTCTGAGTTACTGTAAAATTGGATCCACTTGCTTTACGTATTTACTTGTGATTGTGGAAACAACTGTCCGTATGAATTACAGTTAAACAGAGCATCAGATCTTCTACCCTTTGCAGCAGGAACTCAGATCTGATGCACAGTGGCAATGCCTAACTCTAGAGGCAGGTCTCTGACATACTGTAAGTGCTTTACCAGAAGTTGTCACTTGGAACTAGTGACAAAGATGTGTTCAAGTACAAATGCTAAGGGTAACTAACTGTGTTTCCATGTAAGACACCGGTGCCTGAAAAGTTGTATACATAAGACCACATATCAGGTAATCTTCTGTGTTCATGTTTAGCAGAGTATTCTTACAATAGCTTGACACACATCTTAGCTAGTTAAATGCTGGAAACAGGCAGAATTACACAATTACATAAATTGGTTCTAAATACAAAACAGCCACGAAGTTGAAGCAGTATTTAAGCCCTCAAATAATACAGCCCAGTTTTGACATAAATCATGCTGATTAGGAGGAGCCACCGTATTTTGTGCTACTCAGCATCACATGGTGGTTTCAGCTACACTAGCAAACTTCAAGATGTGTATAAGATAAAATGAGAGTCCTCTTGTTCTGCGTTTCTAGTACACTCAATGTCCAGTCTAGAAATCACATTGCATACAAACTAATCAAGAGAAACAACTTCTCGTCATATTGTGGCAAGTAACAAAGAAAAAAAGAAAGCAGAAGCCCATTTGAAAGACAAAAACATCTTGTCACATATGATCTCATATTTGTTGATAGTTCTTGCTACATTATAGCAGAAGGCTTAGCTCTTGTCTTCAGACATTCTGCTCAACATCCATATTCCTGTCAGTTCACAGTATGGGAAGAATTCCTCACTCAGCTTTTTACCAATTTGTCTAATCAGACAGCTCCCAACTAAGGAATTTTTAGCTTTTTGCATATCTGTCCGTTGAATATCTTCAACTCAATGCAAACCCATTGACTACAACAAATAACAACTGCTTATCATAGCATAATTCATGTTGGAAATTACCTAAGGTGACCACCTAGGCCAGTCTTCTGCTAAGGTTAGATTAAAATTCAGGATGGAATATGCTTCAATATTTCTTTAGCATTGAACTGGTTGGTCTTCTTTTTGCACTCGCTACCTTTTTTTTTTTTTTTTTGTCATCTATTCCATGATATGGCCTTCTTGGGCATACCTTGGTTTCTCAGTAGTCACTGAGCAATTTCTCTGGCTCCAGAGGTTAAAATGAGTTTACAGTTTGTAGGTTTCATGACTAAAAATACCACAGATGTGAAAAAAAATTACTCTCATTTTAGTAGACCAACTGACAGTACTACTTATTTACATGTAGCTTGGCTTCAGCCTGACCTGGATTCCACTTGTGTATTTTCATTGACCTTCTACTGATTGGTTGGAATTTTAGGTCCACCTCTGTTGCTGATGCCAGCAGATGGGACTGATATCTGACATCTGGTTTTATTTTTTCAGAAAACTGAAATCCTCCATGCACATGCTTATTTCTTTAGGAGTGTACCCACTCTGGAAAGACATGGTTTCCACAAACAGGTTTTAGTGCCTGTTCTGATCTTCTGAATGAGATACTTTGAAATTAAAGTACCAAGGAGATGCTGAAGCAGAACAACATGTTGCTACCAAGACCTGCAACAACTCCAGTAATCCAGCCACCTTGTACCATCATAGAATGCAGTTTTAGCATTGCAGACCTTTGTGACTGACAGCAGCTGGAATTGCAAATTCAACCAGACTTACTTCCATGTAGGTCTAGAACTGTTTTCTGTGTGCTTAAAAACAGTTCTCAGTATCATTTTAATGCATTTTAAGAGTTTAATCCATTGAATAACATTTTCATTTGCTGCCATCCCTCCTAAGTGACCGTCTTCTTTACACACGGGGGTCATTGTTCTGTGTTCCTACTTGCAGAGGCAATGGCTGTTCCCAAGCCATAGAGGTTCAATAGAAACATCCAGTTGTTTTATGTGATCTGCTGAAAGATTACTGTTACTTAGTGGGCTGTGAGAGTTGGTAAAGTAAAAAATTTTAGATATTTACACATCTGTGTTCCACTGGTGTGTCACCTGTGCATAAAATTCTGAATAATAATTCTGAAAAATACTGAAAAACTGAGAGAGTCTTCTCTAACACAACTTCTGGCAGCCTGCAGTGCTGGAACTGGAAATCTGGTTTTCTATTGCAGCCATGGCAGAGATGTGAGTTTAGCTGATGAGGCCCATGTCAGCCTATATGCAGCCACAGCTCAGTTACTGATCTTAGAGCAGCTGCATATACATCAGCACAGTCTCCTCAGTGTCCATATCATCTCTATGACATGAAGAAAATCGTGTACCATAGCAGCAGCTGTTAACATTTCTGACCTTCCTTTGCCTATTCTTCCAAAAATCAGGTGGTAATGATATCCTGTTCACCTTCCAGATACGGCATCACCTGTTACTTTATACACTCACAGGTAATAATTGGTGTGTGGTGTCAGTGAACCCTTCTGAAATATTTTCTCCTAGTCAGATAGAATTATGTCTGCAGTTCAACATCAGCGAGCCCTTGGAAATTTCAGTCTGCATGGTGGATAAAGGCAAATGATCATATTCTTCCATTGATGCAGTTACTGAATTGTGCTGGCAGCTCAGAATCAGTGACTTCACTTCTTTTTTGAAGTTGCTATTTAGGAAACCATAGATAACAGGGTTGACACAGGTGGAAGCCATAGCTACCAGGTGGCATAATGAGAAGATCAGGTTGTGGTGGCAAGGTGAAATGATTTTGTAATTCCAGTCTACGATGGTGTTGAAAATATGCAGTGGTAGCCAGCAAACAGCAAAAGCAGCCACCATAGATGCTAACAAAATGTTTATCCTTCTCAGCTGAACTGCTCGGTTGCTGTATTCACTCTTCTCAAACATGTCCTTTCTCTTCTGTAGACGTAAGTAGATACGCAGGTAGCAAAGTATAATGAAGAACAGCGGGATGCAATATTGCAAGAGCAGTAGAGTGGTGGTGTAGATAAGTTTGTGTTGCTCAGAAGGCCACGAGTTGATGCATATGGCCTTATCAGTGGAAAAATTCATGAAGTGTGAGAGCTGCTCATACAAGTCATTAGACAAGATGGATGTGGTCAAAAAGGGTAGGGACATGAGACATGCTAAAATCCAAATTACTCCAATTCCTAGATAGGCTTGGGAGGTATTTGGCCTCCAACCAGTTGGGTTTATGATGAGCTGGTGTCTTTCCAGAGCAATAAGGACAAGGGAAAGTATTGACACTGTCACAGTTGTGCACTGAGTAAAAGAGGTCATTTTGCACATGACTTCTCCAAATATCCAGTAGTCCATCATGGTGTAAACAATGGTGAAAGGCAGGCAGACAAGACACATAAACAAGTCTGAAATTATTAAATTGGAAATTAGGATGTTGGTGACATTGGCCTTTTCCTTCTGCCTGGCAATGACGGCAATCAGACAGATGTTTCCCACAATCCCTAGGACAGTCTCCAAGCTGTAAGAGGTGGCCAGGAAGACAGTAAGGTCGGTGATGTTCATGCACTGATTAGAAATGTTCATGGGAAAGCTTCGGTTTGAGTTCCAGTTCTTGCTGTTCAGGAAATGAAAACCATCGTTAGCAGCCCTTGTCTTATTCATCCTGAATTCCAAAATATTTATCACAAAGGATGGTAGTCGAACACAATTTAGGTCTTCTGGAGCCAGCCTAAAATGGGCTTTATCTGTTCCGTCTGGCTGTGGAAGATCTGGGTGTATCTGCAAAGGAAAGGAAAAAATATCTTTTGTTATGCTTCAAGAAATTAGTCAAAAGGGCAAGGAGGGAGACAGGGAGGCAAATGCCAGAGATTCTGTGTATATTCTGCAGCTCCCTCGTATATAGTTTATTAGATTATAAAATGGAGCCCTTTGCTAAACTGTGGTATGAAAGTCTGTGCAACTCTATTGAATTATGACCGTGTTTATTCATTTTGAGGTTGTCCCATGGATTTAAGAACATCTTAACTTCATTATTTAACTCAGTGCAGTATCTTGAACATCACTAATGCAGTAGAGTGGTGATCTAAGAAAACTGGATCAAAACCCACCTGGAGGTAAAAATTGTGTGCACTACTGTTTTTGCAAGGTTCTGATCCAAAACTGGGCAGTGGGCATTGTGGGGCTTCATTTACCTTCAGCTGAGCTAAACATCAATGTGAAAAGTAAGTCATAATAGGTGTATAAAGCCAACACTAAAATATCTTATGTGAGTTAATCTGTGAAATGCAATTGTGACTGTAGCCAGAGCTTGCGTTTGGGCAAAACAATCACCACGCAAAAATTCAGGCTCATTCTCAGGAGGGATATCATGGGACAATTTTTCAAAAGTCTAAAATAATTCAAAATCATTTCAACATATTTCAGCTTCTACACAGTTGTGATAGGTCATGGGAACTGCAGTCCAAATATCTTCCTTCCCCATTCTGGATGAACCCCAGTGCCCTTAAAGCTGTGATGTCTCCCCTAATGCAGCCATGACAGGGTTTATCAGAAATAAAGTCCAGTCTCCTGATTTTGGCTTTAAGAGTGAGTGATTTTTATAATGTCTGTTAATCCCTTCTGAGAAGCTTCTTATTGATTCTCCCTCAGTATCATTTTGCTTTCTTCACCCAAAAAACTTCAAGTGTTTTAATAGTATGTGCTGTCTCCTAGATACTGTTCCTGCACGGACAAATAGGTCTGCTTCTTAATCACCACGAGCTGGGATTTTCAATGGGGTGTCAGGGAGCTGAAACCATGGAATTAATCTGTGCTGCACACTTTTGGAAATCTCATAGGACTGCTTAGAGTCTCCCAGATGACTCCTGTGAGCCATAGCAAAGGCTACCTTATAAACCCGATCCTGGAGTCCAAATCCTCTATGTCAAGGAATCAAAGAAAAAAATCTGACTCTGCTGGGAGTTCTCATCAGGCCAGAGGCAGTTTCATGCTGTGCAAAGGCTTGTAGTATGAAAAGTAAATAAATACTCAGGGAAAAACACTATTTAACCACTACGTGACCCTTTCCTCAGTGATAAAATGTCACTCAAACAAGTTTTAGTGGTTGTGAAAAGCTTCTGAGCTTCAGAAAAAAACAACTGCTCAAGGTATGAATATGTAAATAAAATGGTATAGTGAGCTTATCAGTTTGAGTAGCATTTACTGCTGAACAACTGTGTGCCTAAAGATAACCAGTACTGTACAAAAAAACCACCTACTTTCCTACAATTTTTTCTTTGCCTTGTCTTTCTTGTTATGAATTTTACTGTATGTTTCTAGAGATGTTGCCTCTCAGGAACTAAAGAAAGCAATAGTGTGCAGTAAATAAAAAGAAGGTTTGGGATCATCGTTCTGCTTGATCAGCAAAAATAAATGAGTACAGTAAATTCTTTCGGTACTTTGTTAGCATTGATTTTGCTATTTTGCTACTTTGATTTATCTAACTGTATCTATCTGTATTTCTGTCATCTATCTGTATCCATCCAAAACAGTGAAGACAGTCACACAAGCAAAATATAGTAATCCATTCTTTCTCATAATCTTTCATTTCCTCAGTAGTTTAAATCTTAATTAAAGAGGGCAAAGGAAATTTTCCAAATTGTGGATATAGGTATGACTCCTTCTGTCCACTCACTTTTGTGTTGTTGCCCAATCCATGTGAACAGATTGATTCATTTTCTGGAACAAAAAGAAGAGGCAATGATGGCTGGATTGCATGTTCACATAGGGGGAGGGTATGGTGGTCTGTTTTAGTGTGAAAAGGGATATAGAATGAAAAACCACCAACCAACCCTGTAGTTTTTAATGATTGCTGGCCAGTGACGATGCTGCAAATGAAACAGAGCAAAGGGATCAGCAGCCTGCAATATTATTTGGTACCAGTCAAAAGAGATAAGTTTTGGCATTTGGACAGGACAAATAGATTCTGCTGTAAACAAAACACAAGCTTTTTGCTACAGTCCCAGCATAGTGTCCTTAGCTACAGTATCCTCAACAACAAACACATGGTTCTCTTTTGTTGCTTAAGAAATATTTGCAGAGTTATTACAAACATCTGTGTCCCACAGAGTAAGCCCTCTCAAGGGTCCCAGACACTTCTGGATGTGCTGAGGTGTCAGTGAGGAGAACTAATAATGCTGAAGCAAAAAAAAAAAGTGGTGGAGCCACCTGGAAAACAAAAGCCAGATCCCACAAGTTTAAGGGGCACATTTCCAAGAGGTATGCCACAGACTGAGCATGGCTGTGCATTTCATACAGATGGCAAATGTGGTGGGGATAAAGAGCATCTCTAAAGGCTCTGCAATGTGTACTGTTGGGTTAGAAGCTCCCTCTCTTAACATCTTGCATTCCATAGTGTCCCCACGAAGTGACCGTCAGGCACCTCCTGGGAATTCATTCTTATGGTACTGCCCAGAGGTAAATAAGGAATTATCACCCTCTTAACACAGGTAAGGGGACTGAGAGAGGGATCTGAGACATGAGTTGTCCAGTGTTTCAGGGGAACCTGTGGTACACTATGCCAACCAGATGTCTTGGGAAAAGTCAGTGCCTAGATCACTTAGGTCTGTAATTCTCTTAAACTCTTATTCCAGCAACCATAATATGAAAAACAGTTCTAGAAAAAATAGAAAAATAAATAACGCAGTGACCTTATACTTATGCATCCTATTATGGTATCCTTGGATAGCAGATCTCAAGAATAGTCACTGCCAAGTGCTGTGTTTGACTTTCAAGGTGTTTGATTGCCATTCAGTTTAGTCTGAACCAAGAGCCAGCAATAAGCAATGTGTACATATTCTATTTAGACATTTGAATCAAATGTTAGCTAATATACTGAATCACCAATGCAGTGGGAACGAGGGTGTTAATCCCCTCACTATATTGAAGGTTTGTTGATTACCCCACAAAACACAGCAATAATGTTATTGGCTAAGAAAAAACAGCTTTTGTCTCTTGAAAGTGAAGCAATACTTGCTTGGCTTGTAGAAGCAAGAAGTATGTCTCCTAAATCAATTCGCTGAGAGATTGAGGGAAAAGGTATTTTTTGTTGTTTGCTTGTTTGTTTTTAAAGAAGAAAGAGGAATCCTTTTCAGAACCCTTAATGAACTTCAAGAAACAAAAAGCTAACATGGTCAAAAGCAAGGAGTTTCTTCTCTAGTTGATGCAGCATGAGATAGTTTCTCTGAAAAGCAAGTGTCTCAAAAGTCTACATCAAATCAACAGGCTATAGAAGGAAGTAGAGAAGAAGCTTTCAAATTCAGTGTAATTTAAATTCCAGAAGTACATATTTTATAGATGTTCATCATTCTGCTCTTTGTGTTGGAAGAAAGGAAGAAGAGCAGGCAAGGTTTGAAGGGTTTGTCTTGCTGAACAACACAGCCTTCTGAACTAACAAATGTCACTCAGGTTGTCTCAAAAAAAGAAACCAAACTATCACTAGTCAGCTTGAAAGCCTTGCCTCAGAGCATTATCCTGTATTTCCCATAAAAATTCCGCAAAGAAAAGGGAATTCTGCAGAGATGGGTCAGGGAAGAAAATAAAACCTTCAGTGGGTTTGAAGGAGACTGCTAGACCATAAGTGGCTACAAGCAGTTAATGCATGACTGCCCTTTTGAGAGACCTCTGGACTTGAAGACATCCTATGAAAACCTCTATAAAACCTGTTTTCCTGGAGGCAGGACAAAGCAGGGGACTGCTACGGATGCTACGATCTATGTGCCCAGTGGGAAAGGGTGGGTCATTCTTGCAAAGTGGATCGTGATCATCTATTCCCTGTCATCAAATAACAGTCTCCATAGTTGTGATGGACAATGGAAATCAATTTCCACATCAGATATAAATCAAAGGGGAAAAAAGGGTTTGCAGTGTTTGGCTTCATTATCTGGTACTTAGAAGCATTTGCTTATCTAACTCAGAATTAAAGTAGTTGCTCAAACAACTGCTGCTTTCAGTCCATAAGAGTTTCTGAGAGAAGCAATTCCTAAAGACATCCTGTGATTGTACCGTTTATTTAAAGAGTTACAGCAGTTATCTGGAGTAAAGCAGCTATTGTCTTCCTTTTATAAACTAGAAACAAAGGAGCAGTGGAAAACTTCAGCAGAATGCTAGAATTCATATTGCAGATATTAATTGAGGTGGTGAGGACTGACTGACTGACAGTGGTGTCCTCTTTTGGCTGGCAGCCACATTATCTCAGTAAAATAGATTTGCCCTGTCTAGCCTTACATACTAAAGAAAGGCTAAAAATCATTTGGCTGTTCTTACAGCTTTCCAGGAAGGCAACACAACTAGAAGAGGAAACATGCCACTGAGTATGCACAGACATCCCACAGCAATATTAAATCCATAAGGGATTTGATACAATTAAAATTAATGGTGTAGTCCACCATTTGTTTTAACTCTGTGTTGCAAAATTATTGGGAACAACTGTCTTAGGTCATTGAAAAAGCCATATATGAAAAAAAATTCTAAAATATGCATAATTAGGGTATAGAACAACTTGTGTATATTAATCTGTTACAAGTCTATAAAATTGGGAGATGGTATAAATACCCAGGAAAGTAAGTACTTTTTCATCCTCTCATATCTGCTTGTTTTCAGATGGAAACCCTTTAGAGGTTATGAAGTTCTGAGTTAACCTTCTCTGATCATGTAGAAAGTAGGGAAGTTTACAAAAGCATCTACTCCAACTTTTTATTTTCTGATTAAATTTATAACAACCTAACCAAAGATTTGGAGCCAGCTCACAAAGGCAAAATGTGAGTAGCAGGTCAGCAGACTGGAGAATGGCAGTTAGTCCCTGATTTCTTAAGAGTAAAGGCCATTGTAACAAGGTCTCTATCCAAGAGAAAAAACCTATATTTTTGCAATGGTGATCTTTACCAAAGGAAGCTGTGAGTCCATAAAACATTGCAACAGGCACCTTAGCAGACAGCCAGTTAGGATATCTGGAGAGTGATGCGATGTGTACTATCAGAAGCTGCATGGGTTGGGTGAGGAATAAGAAATCTCAGGGACTAGGAGATAAGAAGTGTTTTCCAGTGACCAGTGGGAACAAGAAAGTCTTTCTGTCACACTTCAGGGTGGCAGGGAGCACAGCTGAACCCTACAGATCTCCCAAGAACCTGCCATCTCCCTCTTGCACCCTGAAAGGTTGCAAAGCTCTGCTCAGTAGATACAAGGGTTAGGCCTTATAAAGTCAGACTGTATTCATTTATCAAACATAGTCACCTGCTTTTTTAACACTAACAGGTAATAACTTTAATAAAGAGCTCTGAGGTCTTGACAATCTGAAATAGATAATTTAGAAAATTCTTACCTGTTACCGATGGAGAGAATCACTGCAGTTGATGCACATTTCTATTTTGGAAGAAAGAAGGAATGTTGAAGCAGTGAAGTAAGATCTTCTGTGCCCTAGCAGTCCAGCAGAGAAGCTCTCCTTGCTGTTTCTGTAGGTAATTTGGATGGCATGTCTCTCCCTCTCCCCCTCTCTCTCCCGCCCTCTTTCCTTCCCTCCCTTCAATTTAGCCAATGAATTCTGCTTTATGGTTATGGTCTACTTTGAAGTTCTGGCTCCCTCTGCTGTTATATAAATATACAAATTCTAGGGATACTTGGGAGGAATAGCAACTTCAGAAAAAAGCTATGAAGTATCTGAAGCTCAGTGTGCACCCATGCTGCACGTGAGTGAGATCTCAAGTGAAAGCAAAGAGACAACTAATCCTGTTCTCCTTGATGAGGCACGATTTTTGTAGGGATCAAAGAGAATTTTGCCTCATACTTATGAAAAGGTTGCCAGTGTCAGTTTTCTCAGTTTTTCCATTCCATCACAGACAGATTTTTTTAGAAGAGTGCAGGCTACAAGTCCTTAGATTGTGAAAGGGGAAGAGGCACCGTGTAACTCAGGCAAAGAACTCAGAAATGTATGACCTCTGAGAGAGTTGGAAACAGAGGAAAAAAGGGATTTGAAAAAGTGCCCATTTCCTTTGATTTTTTTTCTCCCAGGTCTTTCTCATGAAAAACCAAGGCAGAAGTCAGAGTTGCAAATCTTTCTCTTGCATTGGGAAAATACACAAACAGTGTATTTCCAAGGGCTATATCAGAATAACCTAATTTTGGTCCTTACTTAAACAGGATTTTAAGCTATGGTCAGCTACCTAATTAGTCCAGTGGCTTATGCTATTCTGGAGCCCTTCTCAAGTTGTGATAAGTAGTTGTTACAAATAGGTGTTTTCATTTGTAGGTGTGTAGTATGTCAACAGAAGTCAAACATTGCAATATCAAAACAAGTGCAAGCACTTAGCAACTAAACTAACCGTGAAAACAATTTTTCATTTGTACCATATTCTTTCTTTCATTTTTTCTGATAGCAGCTACTATGGATCTGATCATCTACTTCAAGAGCTTAGCGGACATCTTTTATGATTAGAGAAATAAACAAGCAGAAGTTGAAATAGAGGGTATTTTGGCATTTCTCATGACTTATGATGCTGAGAAGCATAAAACTGGAATCTGCATAATGAATAGTGTAAGCCGGAGAGTTGTCTTCAGTTACTGATTTTTCTTCAGGGGATGCTTGAGCTGCTTCTTGGTTTGAGTGACTTATTTTTTCACAGCCTCCTTTTCAGAGGCTTTATTTACCAACTAGCTTGAACCAGCACCCCACAACCCAATATTTCCCCTTTACCCAGACACCTCAGAAGGAGACGAGCTTTCCGGTCTGGTTAGGAAAAGGGACATGAAGCCTGTACTCTGGCTGAGAAGGCATCAGCCCACGCAGATCTTGAGCCTCTGACCAGCTTCATAGGAAGTAGAGGATTTTTCCTATCTTACTGGAGCCAGAGAAGCTGAAAATATTTATCTGGCTGGCCTGTTCACTTCTGTTTCTTCCTTAATTTATTTATCGTATGTTTATTTGTTCTGCTGTTCAAAGCATTAAAGAAAGGGGAGGAAAACCATTAGGAAACAGACAGTCCTTTTCCTGAGGGATATTTTGATTTGTGAAGCTGTTCTTCTGTCCCCCTCAGCCTGTAGCATTCCTTAGCCAGCCTTATCTCCACACCTTCCAGACATTTAAAGATATATTGTGCCGCTTTTATTCTCTCAATGCAGACATTTGGGCAGAGTCTGCAAACTAGCAAATTAGCATCTGCTCTCTTCTTAAAGTCAGTGGAGAACAACTGTATCACTGGGTCTTAAAACACTGTTCAGGACTCTGCCAGAAAATGACCTAGCCACCGGTATGCTTGCTATGGCATCTGGGACTTTCTTCGTGACAGATTTTTAGGGTGAATGAATTGCTGTAGCAAGGTTCTGACCATTTTTGATGAGGTGAATGGGGCTGCAGTAGAGTCCTATTACACACATATTCTTTCCTCATCATATCCAAACTGCAGGATGAAAATGCTCACTATTAATAAGCCAGTGTGGGAGCAGCATACCAGAGCTAGCTTGGAGTGAGAACAGCAGCAGCAAGACAAAGACGCAGATGCAAATTTCCTTGAGTGGGTCTTTTAGTCTTGATTCAGCACCTTGCTAAAATGGTGGTGGTACTCAACCTGCCTGTTTTGAATCTGGCCATGTTTCACTTTCCAATGGGAACTACTGAACATGTATTTGTAGAGAGTCTCTGTGAGGATTCCAACCCATTAAGACTTGCAAAATGCACAGAAAGTATTTGTATGAGGGTGCATAAGAATGAAAATTCCTCTATATGCAGGACACTTACTGCTGGGAACAGTGTGCAAGTACTGTAGTCCCAACTACTGATAGTCAAGTGCTGTTGATGGACCAGTCCCAGTTTGCTGTTGATAGGGAATGGAGTAAAAAACTGTAGCTGGCATGGCATGGGGCTGTCCTACTTCCCACAGAGTGATAAGAAGCTTTGCTCCCATTGTCTATCCACAGCATGTGCTCCTGTTATGAGGAGGCCCTGGGGAACTGTTCTGCTTTCTCTGCAGTTAGTTACAAAAGACAGTTGGACTCCCAGGAGACAATATATTTCAAGGGGGTACATGAGGAAATAGTCCTCTCTGTTCTGGCCAAATAACTTCTTCCTGCAAGTGGTTATGGGGACAGCATCATCACAACAAGGGGATTACAGCTGCCCTCTGGATGCTTTGAGGGTCTCCTCAGGTACTCTTGTGTCGGATCTTCAGCCATATCAGCCTTCACTGGTGGAGCCCTGATACTCTTTCTTTCCCCTGAGCGTGAAATCTCAGAGGCCAATTCTCCTACAGTACATTTAGCAAATCTAATTGTATTCCAGCATCTGGAGTCCTGCTCTCTCTGGCACTATTTAACAGTGAGCAAACAGTATCCACAATGAATAGTACTAGGTACTTGATGACAAAAGCATGTGGAGAAAATGTACCATGGAACAGTACACAGTCTGTGTATATGCTAAGCTTATCAGGGCTGCATGGCATCCTTGTAGGTATTTTGTGTAAGTTTGGTTTGGCTTTATTTTGTCAGAATCTCTACCTCTTTCTGAAGCAGAATATTTTAATCATTATCATCCATCCTCAATTTGTTCCTAACCTTTATTCCATGGGGTAGCCATGAAAGTGATGTGCCTTCCCAGGAATTTTTCTGAACTGCTTAAATGATGTTCAGGCTTTTGGAAAAGTAGGCCTGTTACTCAGAGCCCCCCAGACAGGCCCTTATAAATACATCTAGCATTTTGGAAGCTGATAGGATAATCCCTTCTATATATATCTATATCTACATCTACCTCCATATATATACACATACATATATATATACACATATATAACTGGGTGAAATCCTCTGATCCACCCTCCAAAACTAGAGAAGTGAAGGCTCCTCCAGTGTCTGTTCCTCACAGACTGGAAGGGCCGTGGCCAGATGCAGTGATGTCCACTCCATTATGCCCAAGAAGGCACAGGGGGATATCATCAAAGAGAGCTGCTACTAGCCAGTTCTAACCAACCCTGAAGCCCAAAGAATTAAGAATCTACAATTGTATTTCTCATTTTACTTGCTTTCTAGAATCACCTTATTGATTGCCATGGATGGGTTTTCCTCTAGTAATTGGTAAGCTGTTTTCCTAATTATGTGCAGGTTTTCTACCTGGATGCCCTCAGCATCACACTTGAAAATAGATGATGGTTTTGAAAATGTGATTGTGGTTTTCCACAATAGATATTGAAAGAAGTTGTTGTTTCAGTCAGATGAAATATTTAATTGTTATACACTTCAGTAATGTAGAGGCAAGGCAGATGAAGAAAAGAGCTATGATGTCAGTGTTGAATAAACTGAACACACCCAAATTATTTAACTGAGCCTTTTAAGCTGTCCAGTGCTCTTTTTATAATTGCTCTTAATATTGTCTAAATAGGTTTTATAGGATATTTCTCATATTAAGTACATTCATGGACTTTGTACCAGGCACAGTGTAGTGCCTGAAGTCTACAGGCTAAACATGATTTACAGTGTGGGTTTTCTATATAAACAGCTTTCATAGGGTTGTTTGTCAGTGCACTTTGAACCAAACAAGATTATTGCAGGAAATTCTACCTCAGTATGGAAGGCTACAGAGCTATTTATATGGCATTTCTTTGCAGTAGGTTGGACTCTCAGGTACGGGATTGCCTTTTTTTGTAATATACTAGTCATCTCCTGGAGAATATGTTCCCTTGTGCATCTGCACTAATGGATTGATGGACCTATGTAAGGCACCAAGGTGGAGGGAGGCTTTCAAGGGGCTGTTTTCTTTCATCCCATTCTTCTAGTATACATGTCCTTGGGGAGATAATAATTGTAATAACATAATGAATCCATTTGCCTGGCCACAGGATTTATATAATACCTGTTAGTTTAAAAGCTAGATAATTTCCAAATCAGTAATTAGATTTACAAACATTTATACACACCATGAATACTTCTGTTTTCAACAAGAACAATCAGTGACTACTTAGAAAGAAAAGCAGTGATTTGATGTATGTGAACATTTATTTAACTCTAGATCCCAACAGGAAAAAAGCCACAAAGTTATCTGTGGTAAAGCTTGGTTACAAATGTGTTTAAGACAAACCACCTAGTGTCAGAAATGAGATAGATATGGCACAATTAGAGCTGTGAAAGGCATGAGACAAACTCATTGCTCCTGAAACCATGCTGCTTGCTGCTTTCCTCTAAAGGAGAGATCCAGAGCATTCAACTTTCAGGGTAGGTGTGAAAGAGGAGAAATACATCACGTGGTCTTAACCAACTCCATTGTAGACTTTGCAATTTATTTCAGGATTAGTCTTCTTCACCACTCGGATGGAACAGCTTTTCTTGTGGAATAGGCCAACACAGTTCACCCTGTCATAGTGCTTGGGGATTACAACCCTGTCATTGAGAAAGACAAAGAGAAAATCAGCAGCTGAGACACTGACTGAGAAG